GGCGGCGGGGGGGGGCGGGGCCGGGGGCGCCGGGGCCACACAAGGGGAAGGCGCCACCGCCGCCGGGAGGGGTCCAGGATCGAGAGGTCATGGTCGAGGATGTAGGGCCAGCGAACTGCCAACTCCCACCGCTGCAGTTCTCGGGGCTGAGCCCCTCAAGCAAAGTCCGCGCAGCTTCTCCAAAGTCCCCACACCCATGTTCTCACCTACCTTATTACACTGGGTTGCAGGAGGCTTCCCTCTGGGAGACCCGCAATCTCTCTTCTCCAGAGCCCAGGGGCAGGAAGAACCTGCCAAAGAGGAAGGAGGGCAGACAGTGGAAGCATGGTAGCGGCAGACTGATTCTTCGAGAAAGACTAGATAGAGGTGGGGAACATCAGGCGCACCTCTCTCCCCTGGAATCTGACCTAGGGAAATCTCTGACGTTCATTTTCTCTGACAGACGTCCATCTCAACCCAGTACACACTGCTATACCGTTCGTCCGTTGTCGTGCCCCCCACCCCTACAAGTTCTTATTTACCTAATAGACAAGGCACGCCCCTCTAGCTCTAGTGTCCTGGAGCCACACTTCAAAGGTAAAGGAGGAACAACTAGAAATGGCAGCCACTGTCGCTGGGTAGCTCCAGAAGTGTCTGCTGAGTGGAGTAATGGGCCTCCGGGCAGCACATTGAAGTGTCCAATTCACACTTCTGCAGGCCACCCTGCACACTAGCTTCTGATTACTGACACTTCACATTCTTCCCCATAATCCCACCTGCCTGTTCACACCCTGGCTGCTGTACTCTGCAGCCCCTCCCACACCCTCTTGACCACACCATTTCCAGTTCACCCACACGCTTGCTCTGAACCATTTCCTTCATTTCTTTTTCGGCGGCTTCTGGCCTCAGTGGGCTGCTCAGCCTATGGCTATGGGCTTCACTCTCATCTCCCCGAGTACTTCATGAGCCCTCTTGTGGCACATCCGAGCAGCTTTTCCCTCAGCCCAAGCGCAACTCCTGGACTGACTTCACAAGGTCTGATTTGCCTTGCCTTCTGCTTCTTTCTCTGACCCTGGTTTCTTCTATATTTTGAACTAGAAAGGAAGAGGATGAAAAAAGATGGGAATGTTGGAAAGGACACAGAGTTGAAGCCCCACATGATTCAGCTGGGAAGAACTTTAGCAAGCACAGTGCAGTCTCCTTATGGAAGCCCACTGTCACCAGATGGGTTCATGGCAAAGTTAGGTCTCCTGATTTCCAGGCCCACCTTCCCACGAATGTTCCCACTCCTCAGCAGCCTTGGGGGAAGGGAACCAGAGAAAGCAGAAGCAAAGGAAGGAAAAAATAGAAGGGGGCAGCCAGTCTTGAGGATCGAAGGGCCTTTCTCTGGGTAGGACCCCTGGATCTCACACCCCTTCTTAGGCTACTCCCTCCAGCACCCCTCGGTGGACTTCTCCAAGGTCACCCAGATGCTGGTTCTGGTCTGGATTGAGGGCAGGACCTTTCCTCTGGCTCCCATATTCAGCCTAGCCTATAGGACTTCTGGACCTAACTCTAGGACTTAACAGCTGTTATCCCCTAGTCCCAGGTGCAGTCTCCCCCATCAACCCTGGACATCTGCACTGCAAGCCCCCCACCCTCACTGAGGGTGGTCAGCCTATGAGATGGGCCAGGAGCTAAGGGGAGGTTGGCTAAAGGCCTGCCTGTGTAGCATGTGGGGGTGGCCCTTGGGCTTGATGGGGCTAAGGCAGTGTGTGTGCTTGTGTGCATGAGGGGGGCTTGTTTCCCAGGGCCCAGGGATCTGGATAGAATTAGGGGCTAGCCCTGGCAGGGGCCAGGATGGGGAGTGTAGGGGTGCTGCAGCAGGAAACGTGAGCTGCACTCATTAGCTCCTCACGTGCTCAGCCGGATTTATAAACACAAGGAGAAGGGGATGTAAACAATCAGTGGGCAGCAGCCAGAGGCAGGGCTGGGGCTGGGGACCAGGGCTGGGGGAGGGGGCTGGGATGCAGCCTGATGGTGGGGTCCACCTGCATACCATGAGCTAGAGAAGGAAACAGAGAGCTGGGCTCTACCAAGCCTTCCCCTGGGCACTGGGAGCCCCTGGCTCAGTGCTCACACTAAGCTCAGGTGTTCTCTGTCCAGGCCTTCCAGCTTGGCTGCCTGAAGTAAAGGCACATCTTGCCCAAGATCAGAGCAGTCATAGAACAGCAGAGTCCTGTACTTCACCTTCCTCCTCTGCTGGACTCCACTCTGAGTCCTATGACTCCTGCTTCTTTCTGCTTCTCTCCAGGACTGGTCAGTAGGCTCCTTCTGCTCTCCCATGTCCTCCCACCCCCCAGCCTGCAGTGATACAGTTACCTCAGAACTGAAATATTCCTGGAAACACCGGCCTCGTCTGGTTAATTTCACGAGCCGTTTTTCTGCCCAGATGACTTAGCTTTTGTTTATCCAAAGGCTTCTTCTCCCCCTGTTGTCCCTGTGTAAGGAGCTATTCTCCCCAGGGATGTCCCACAGGGCCCAGAAAGGGAGGGGGAAACAAGCTTCAGGCTGGGCTCCTGACTATACCTCCTGATATGGGACAGACAGAGCCTAGTCCAGGATTCCGGATGACAGGGCTGCCTCTGGCAGGGTGGGGTGAAGAGGTTAGCCAAACCTCCAGTTTATGCTTTGGCAGAACTTTGGCAATGCCACTAACTTCCAGCAAAATCATACTTTATCCTAAAAGCTGTTTCGAGGCTGGAAGGGCCACTGCTAAACTCATCATGGTTCTAGTCTCTAAAACTAACCCTATATGATACCCACAGGATCCTACAGGGGACTTAGCCAGATGCCCAGGGCTTGGTACAGAAGAGGAGAACTTGGACATATTTGGGGATTCAATAATCAGGGAATAGAAAGGAAAACAAGAGTTAGGTAAGAACTAGGGATGGAAAGAACCAAGAAAGGAGAGAGGACAGTGGAGTGTTTGCCCATGGAGCAGTTAATTGTCTAATCCTGCTGTTTGAAAACATGTGAACTTGCACACATACATATGCAGACATGCTCATGAGCATTGTGTGCGCGCGCGCGCGCACACACACACACACACACAAGCTAAGGTCCTTTCATTCCAAAGACAAGGTCCCTGTGATGGGATAACCACTCTTCCCATGCTCCACCTGCAAAGCACCCGAGCATCTGTACTGAGTACCTGTGCCACAGCAAAAGTCTCAGCTGCCTCCTGTATTCTACAGTCCCAGATAGTAAGTCACTATGTATGCAATGTTCTACCCAGAAAAGGGCACTCGATCTCATTATAGATGGTTGTGAGCCACCATGTGGGTGCTAGGAATTGATTGAACTCAGGACCTCTGGAAGAGCAACCAGTACTCTCAACCTCTGAGCCATCTCTACAGTCACAGCCTGGATAGTGACTTTTAAAGACTTAGCATAATGACAGACTCTAACCTTAATCTAGTCTTCATGCCTTCTTAACTCCAAGCCCTGTCCTGAGTCTGAATACAGTCAGGTTGTTAAGCCTATCTACTTGCTTCTAAGAAACGTGTCATTACTGAAAACTCTGGACGTATAAAATGTAAACTAGAGTAAAAAAACAACTTGACCTCATACCTATCCAAGCTTAAAACCCAAACTAGCCCTGCTTTTTGTGACATGCCAAACACCATTCTATCTGACGTGTAAAGCAACAAATTCACAGATCTTAGTGTTAACTAACCTTCTGCCTGCCCAAACCTAACCACATAGTCCTCCTGGACTCAAATCTCAACCACACTCACTCAACCAAATCCCAAGTCTAAATTCATGTTAAGACTAACCTAGTCCTTAAGCCTAACCTAGCCCATGGCTAATTATATTCCTACCCTATCCAAGCCCAGATTGGCATTTATTTTGATCTTGGACCTTACCTAAAAAACCCGTTAGAAAAGTGTTTCCCACCTGACTTGGTACCTTCTCCCAGCCTCAACTCCTGGTTTCTGGGATAATCAAACCATCCATTGTCTTCTGTGGGTCAGCTGCCTCTTTAAACTCACATCTTTCCCCTTGATGTTCCCCCTCCAACACCTCAGATAAAGATAGGGCAGACATGGGCAGGGCCTGTTAGTACAGGCCTATAATCCCAGCTACTCAGGAGGCTGAGGCAGAAAGACTGTAAATTCACAAGTAGCTTGGACAACTTAGGGAGACCCTGTCTCAGAAAATAGATAAGAGCTGGGTCTATAATTCAGTGGTGTAGCACTTGCCTGCGTGTACATGTCCTAACACTACAGGAAAAAAGGGGGGGGGGGTTTAATCAAACTTCTACATTGCTAATAGGATGAATGCTACATCCCCTTCAAATAATTCCAGCAGACCCTTATCACACCCAGGAACTGTATCCTAGTATATGCCCACCACTTCTCACTCCAAAAACTGTCTTGGACCCTTCAGCATGACCTTGGCTGTGGAACCCTACTCCTGCCTCCCATGGCTCCTCACTCTTCCACAGGGCTCACTGCTCACAGCTTGCCAGAGTTAACATATGCCATATTCCCATCTCTCAGTGCCTGCTGCAGTGGGACTAGGAGACATGGAGAAGAGGCTGGAACACCATTGTTATTCCAACATATCGACATAAAGTCCCTATAGCCTGGCCTGCCCCTCTGAGTACACACATGCTCACTATTTTGGCACATATAGTGACATACATGCCAAAGACTGTCAGCTGACAGATGCAGTCAAGTATATACTGATAGACACAAATGTCAGGACTTCGTCCTTGCACACATACCTCCACATACACTCTTGGACCAGAAGTCTTTCCCTTCCCCCATCCCCTCCACCTCCCATCTGATCTCTCACCCTCACCCCTTCCTAGCCCAAGGTGGGGACAGACACCTGAGGGGCTGCCAACTGTTTCCCCACTTGGTCCTGGGCCCACCCTCATACTTCTTGCCCATCCTGTCCACAGGGGACTCGTGGGGGATGTTAGCTTGCCTATGCACGGTGCTGTGGCACCTCCCTGCAGTGCCAGCTCTTAATCGCACAGGAGATCCAGGGCCTGGCCCCTCCATTCAGAAAACTTATGACCTCACCCGCTACCTGGAGCACCAACTCCGCAGCTTGGCTGGGACCTATGTGAGTATCCCATTTACTTTGGGCACTGGGTAAAGAGGGAGCAGAGGCTTTCGGGAAGAGAGAGCATGGTGCAAGGGTCCTGGTGAATGATGGTGTCATGAGAGGCCCTTTGGGTCCACACAGTTTCTCCATCTGGCCTATCTCCTACCCTTCCCTCTCAGGTGCCCCCCCCATCCTGGCCCCAGGACTAGGCATGTGGGCAGGCCTCGAACCCGCCTTGGCCCATTGCCCCACTGGCTGCCAGCCCAGCTGCCTGCCTCCCCCTGGGGGCTGGGGAAGTCTCCTCTGTTTACACCATGTTGTGGTGTCTCTTGCAAGGGCGGGGCTGGGTGGGGATGGAGGGGCCCCACCTTCTATGCTTGTGTTCCAGCTTGACTCTACCCCCAGACCTGGGGCCCTGCTGTTCTAGACTCATGGGCCTCCCTCTGCCTCTCCCATCCTCTCAGGCCTCTTGGGGGGGGGGGCTCGGAGGAGGGGTCTACAAGGAATCCAGGGCAGTCACAGCAAGGGGTTCAGGGTATGGAGGGTGGCTATATCATAAGAGTTTGAGGATAGTCCAGAGAGGTTCATAGAGCCCAGGAGAGAAGGGAAGAGGATAGGAGGCACTGAGGACCATGGGGAACAGGCCCCCTCTTCCCGAGTTCCTCTTCCACATCCCAGACCCTACTCCTGAGCCAGGGAAGAAAGAGGGAGGAGGGTGGCGGGGGAGCTGGCTGCAGCCCCAGGATACACCGAGGAAATTAGTTTGTCTCTGTGCTTGTCAGCGTGTGAACCTCCCCCTGGGCCCTTGCCTATCCCCGGCCTCGCCCCTCTTTCCTTCCCTCCCAGCTGAACATCTCACACATCCCCTTCCCTGGGCCTCCGGCCGGCCGGCCGTTCCCCTGAGGCATTGGCAAGGGCTTTGCCCTCTTCCTATACTGTTCTGCCTTGCATGCCCTTCCTCCTGTCCCCTCTTGACATGTCCTCAGTTTCTTCCTTTTACAGCTCTGCTCCTATCTATCATCTGAATCCTCTTCTCTGGGGTGTTGGTGAGTAGCCTACTATCCCTTGTCTCTTTTGCTTGAGGAACTGGGCCTGTTGAACAGGAGTTTTGGTACCACCAGACCCCTTCGGCCTTTGATACAGACTCTCCTCTGGCTGCTTTCCCTGTGCAGAAAACCTCTGCTTGAGTCTGCTACCCTCTCTAATTCCCGACTGTTTCTCTCCTGACTTCCTCTGCCAAATTTCTTGAAGGAGTCGTCTACACCCTCTGCCTCCACTTCCTCTCCACCCACTCATTTCTTAACCCCCTGCAATCTGGCTTCCAGGCCACAGCAACTGTCTCTCCCAGGTCATCAGTCATCTTCTCCCCAAACCCAACAGCATTTTCTGCGGTTCACTCTCATGTTCTGCAATTGCCCTGTGGAGCTCTGCTGTCTTCCCGAGCTCTTCCCTGGCCTGCACTCTCAGAGGCCACCTTCTACCTCTCCAGGCTCCTGGGGTCTTCTTCTCTGCCCTGCCCTGTGGTGCCCAGCCAATCAGCAAGTCCTTCCTGAGCAGCTCCTTTGTGGTTTTCCCTTTCTACACCTCTCCTTGCGAGAGAGAGCTCCCCACTGTTTCACCTGTCACCTCTATGCAAATGACACACTTGCTGGAAAAACTCAGGAGGTCTCTGAACAGAGGCCACCATGTTTGGGAGGAGGTGTCTCTCTGGTGGCAGACTGGCAGCTCTGCTCTCCTCCCTCCCCACCGCCCTCTCCTTTTCACAGCTGAACTACCTGGGGCCCCCTTTCAATGAGCCTGACTTCAATCCTCCTCGGTTGGGGGCAGAAACCCTGCCCAGGGCCACTGTCAACTTGGAAGTGTGGCGAAGCCTCAATGACAAACTGCGGCTGACCCAGAACTATGAGGCCTACAGCCACCTCCTGTGTTACTTGCGTGGCCTCAACCGTCAAGCTGCCACAGCAGAACTACGACGCAGCCTGGCCCATTTCTGTACCAGTCTCCAGGGCCTGCTGGGCAGCATTGCAGGTGTCATGGCAGCTCTTGGTTACCCACTGCCCCAGCCTCTGCCAGGGACTGAGCCAGCCTGGGCCCCTGGCCCTGCCCACAGTGACTTCCTCCAGAAGATGGATGACTTCTGGCTGCTGAAGGAGCTGCAGACCTGGCTGTGGCGTTCAGCCAAGGACTTCAACCGGCTTAAGAAGAAGATGCAACCTCCAGCAGCTTCAGTCACCCTGCACTTGGAGGCCCATGGCTTCTGATCTCTGAGATCTCTGACCCTTAACTGTCCCCAACCCCCTACCCCAGTCAGCTGTGCTTCTATTCTGGGGTGAAAAAAACCTGTATACCAACATTTGTTGAGCCAGGAAACAGACAGTGGGAACTCTATCCTCCTCTGCCTTGGATGGGGAGTATAACTCAATAAGCCCTGTCCCCTCACTAGCTCCTAGAGTCCTAGGGTCTGGAGAAAAGGTTAAGTGGGCATCATCCTATTCCCATGGAGTTAAGACTTGAGGGAGTCACGAATGGCTCAGGTGGGTATAAAGGTGCTCCTGCCTCCTGCTTTCCGCTCAACACTTGCCAGTGCCCACTCAGTTCCTCATGTGGCACTTGCAGAAACACACCTGGAGGGCATGGGTGGGGCCACTGTTGCATGTGCCTTTCTGGGGTAAAGCCCCTTGGCTTCCCTCCCTTTCCTTGGATGGGTGTTGCTCCCCTACCCCAATAATTACATATCCAGTTCAGGAAACAAGGTAACCAGTCTAAAGAAGGGTGTGATAGAGTGGAGGGGTAGGGTCTGTGCCGGAGATGGCCTAGAAACCAGAGGATGGAATACTAAGAGAGAAGGGCACGGGCAGACCAGACCCAGCAGTTGCCAAGGCAATTGGTGGCACAAGCAGAAAACAAAAGCCATGTTGAGCATCAGGACCTCGCCTTGAATTTTCTTGCCGGCATCTCAGTGCCTCCTCTCTGCCCCCTTTCCCAGGGTATCTGTGGTTGCCTGGGCTGGGGAGGGCAGCCACAGCCACAGCCACAGGGTTTCCTGAAAGTTTACATTGCGGTAGCATTGTGGGGTGAGGGGGATGGCTCCCCCAGGCCCTATTCCCCAGCCCCACCCACTCATGACTCTAAGTTTGTTGTATTAATATTTATTTATTTGGAGATGTTATTTATTAGATGATATTTATTGCAGAATTTCTATTCTTGTATTAACAAATAAAATGCTTTCCCCAGAATTTGGACTCTGCTTGGTTTGATGGTCTTCCTGGGGCACATTGATGGTGACCCTAGCCCTGCCTACTGATTCCCACTGTTTCCTTATATCTAGAGGTATACAGAGCTTGGGGTGCAGGCTCTCCTTGCTGGTCCTGGTGGAACACCGGCTTCTGGAACCCATCCATTCCTTTGACGTGACATACCTTGGTCCTCCTTGAAGCTGTTACATTTGCCAGTCTTTCTTGCCTCTGGATTGCTTTACTGGCTCCCAAGGTCTGTTTGGCTTTGAACTTCTCCACTCTAGTTCATCCTACACATAGGGAGGAGAACTGTTTGTTATGCTTCTCTCTGACTTCTGCTAATCATAACCCCTGACATTCAGTCACAAACTTTCCCAGGGTCCCATTAGTGGCTGCCTACTAAAGACCTCACCTCACTCTTCCTCACCTAGGGAGGGTGATGGACACTAGCTAAGTCAGTGTTCTTTGCTATAGATCTGTTATTTTCCTTCCAGTGTAAAAGCCTATTTGGAGGAGGAGAATAGGATGGATGAGAGGGATAATCTAAGCTCAATGTAATTTTTTAAATTAACTAGTATTTTTTAATTTTATTGGAGGTTTGCCTGTATGTATGTTTGTGTGAGGCTGTTAGATTCTGGAATTATAGACAGTAGTGATCTGCCATGTGGGTGCTGGGAATTGAACCTGGGTCCTCTGGAAGAGCAGCCAGTACTCTTAACCACAGAGCTATCTCTCCAGTCCTCCAATGTCATTTTATAGCTTGCTAGCTGGATAGCCTTAGACAAACAACTGAAGCCTTGTCTTCAGTTTCCCCATCTGTAAAGTGGGGATAATTAAATATGCTTATGCAATTGTAGGAGAGGGTGATAGAAATTTTAGATACTTGGTTATAGCAGCAACCACTGTAGTAATTACAGATTAGTTGAAACATCCCTATGTCATGACAGTCTAGTTATGAGCTACTGGGTAAATTAATGGTTAATTGCTCCCAAGAAACACATGGATATTTTATGAGAAGAACCTCCTAAAGATAATACCTTAAGCAAGTTGGTAACAAATGATGGTAGTGCCAGTCAGTTGACAGATACTTTAAAGACCTAATTACTTGCCCCTCACTATGCTGGCTAGGTATATTGAAGCCAAAAGAAGACTCAGACTTAACTTAGCTCCTGCCCTTGTGGAATGTGCAATCTATTTGGAAAGAAAGATCAGCTTCCCTGAAATAATAAGGTATAAAAACACATTCATGTGATGTAATGGATAAGGCAAGCATATGAGCCCCTAGAAAAGGGTGAAGTGAGGGTGTAGGCAGAGGAGCTTCTGACTGCCCATGGGCTAGCCAACCTCAGTGTCATGTCCTGGAGTCACCTGACCCAAGTGGAACATGCCCTACTTCTATGGACTGAGACATCTATCCAGACACTTGTAAAATTCTGCCTCTTTGCATATTGAGATACTATAAAGGGCATCAGGGCTTTCTCTACACACAGGCAAAAAGTATCTTGGCTTGTGATATGTAAAACATTACACAGTGGCTAGAAGGAAGGCAATAAGGAAAGCAGGGATTCTGTCTTCGAGTTCAAAAGATCACGTGATCTGCTGTGTTCCTTGGAGGCAGGCAGGCTCCAAGTCTTTCTCTTTAGTACCCCCCCCTGTCTTTGTTCCTTTTTCCCTTCTCTCTTCCTCCCTCTCCTTTTCTTCCTCTCCTCTCCTCTCCTTTTCCCTCCCTTCCCCTCCCCTCCCCTCCTCTGCTGCCCTCTTCTCTCCATCCTCTTCCTCCCTGTTCCCAGCGTTTTTTCTCACTTTGTGGCATAGGCTGCCTTTAAATGTGCAGTTCTCCTGCCCTGACCCCTGCAGTGCTGTAATAACAAGCTTATACTACCATGCTCAGCTTTCCTTTTTCCCTCTGTGCTAGCACCCAGCTCAGGCTCCAACCTAAAGTTGTTTTTTGTTAATGTGTTCTGTAATGTGAAACAAAACAGTTTAGAAAAGGGGGTAGGGTGATCTCCTATAAATGCTAGGATACAATGAGGCAGATTTGCTTAAAAGTAGAAAGACCTAGACAATGGGCTAGCAAGATGGCTCAGTGAGTAGAGATGCTTGCTGCCAAGCCAAACAACCTGAGTTTTATCTCTGGAACCCACATGATGGAAAAGAGAACCAATAAATATAAGTCAAGGAGGCAGACCATGCAAGTCTAAGTCTAGGACAGAGGGTAAAGTGTCTGGACTGGAAGCACTTGGGAAGTACGCAGTGCTTGGAGCCATTAGTGGATTTATAGTGCCTGGCACAGCAAGTGTTCAATGTACGCTTTGCATATGACACGGTGGGATTCAAAACCATTTTCAGAGGGCATGAAGATTTTGGACAGGTGAAAATGATGGGGCAGGACACAGGTGAGTCTCCTTCTCAAGCAGACAGCAATTTGGGGCCAGACTCCAGGATGGCTTAGCCATACATCCAGATAGTATTTTAGCATACTTCCTGACAGCAAAGTCCTTGGTAATTTTTTTTTTTTTTTTTTTGGCTTTTCGAGACAGGGTTTCTCTGTGTATTCTCTTTGTAGCTTTGGAGCCTAACCTGGCACTCGATCTGGAGACCAGGCTGGCCTCGAACTCACAGACATCCGCCTGCCTCTGTCTCCCGAGTGCTGGGCTTAAAGACATGCGCCACCAACGCCTGGCTACTCCTTGGTAATTTGACTTGAACTGATGTAAAGACTATCTAAAACAAGAGTGTTTCAGAAGTTGAGAGCTGATCAGCAGTCTCATGTTCCAGAGAAACTGAAAGAAAGTGGAGGTTTCTGCTGGCTGCTCTAGTAGAAGCAGATTAAGTGTGGCTTCCTTCAGTGTGGTAGTTGGGGGTGGGGTCAGCACTGCACCTGCACACGTGCACACACACACACACACACACACACACACACACACAAACTGAAAGCCCCTCTCCTCCCCTGTTTGAGATGGGTTGTATGAAGAAAGCCTGGTAGAGCTGAGGAGATGGGGCAGGTAGAAGAGAGGGAAGAGAGCAGCTGCCCAGGGCTCAGTTGAGATGTCAGGTATAATTCCATTTCTGTCCCTCTTTTTAACCTCCATCCCTTCCTCAGGCCCTGCCACTCACCCTGAGCTTGAGATCAGACCAGCTCAGGGGTTTCTAGGCAGCCAGACGAACACCCCTTGAAAACACACTAGCTTCAGCAGTTAGGAAACCACAGGCAACTTGATTGTTTTTGGATACAGGGAGCTATGTAGACTAGACTTAAAATTCATAGTGATCCTCCTACTTCAATGTCCTGAGTCTGGATGATAGGCATGTGCCATCATGCCCACCCCATAGGAACCTTTGAAATAGCATGCCGGGCAGTGGTGGCACATGCCTTTAATCCTAACACTCAGAAGGCAGGGCAGGCAGATCTCTGTGAGTTCGAGGAAAGAACCAGGTGATCTTAGCAAACACATTTTTCCTGTGAGTCCCATTCGTGGCATTTCCTACCAAGCCAGAAATAGCTTGCCTCTACTCGGAGCTTCCTCAGTGCTGGCTCTTAGCCTCCAGGAAGCTGCCTTTTCTCCTAGGTATGTTTGTTTTGTTTTGTTTTTTGTCTCCTGCACATCTTCTTGGTATCTCCAAGCACATAAGATGCCAGCGAGGTTTCCAATACACATGTGCTGTCTGGAGACAACAAGAAGGAAGATAAAGCCCATTTCATCTCCACTCTTGCTCCTCTCCCCGCTAAGGACATAGGACTTCTGGAGACAAGGCAAGAGGTGAAAGCAGAGTGAAGAGAGGCATCTCTCAAGACCAAGGACCAGCAAGACAGGAATGGCAAAGTCACAACATGAGGGACCCTAGGACGCTAGACATGGAATTGTTGAGCAGTTGTGAACCATTGTGCCACACACTACAAGCAGAGTAGACAGCAGAAGGAACAAAGGCAGGGAATGGACAGAAGAGACGCTTCACGTGGGAGCACTGGGACTCACAGGTACAGAAAGCTAGGGTGGGGGCTTACAGCAGCCACAAGTGAGAAAAGGTTCAGAGAGCATCTCGGAGCTTTAGTTTTCTCTTTCTTTCTTTCTTTCTTTCTTTCTTTCTTTCTTTTTTCTTCCTTCTCTTTCTTTCATTATCTCTCTTCTTTCTTTTATTCTTCTTTCATCCTCTCTCCTTCCTTTCTTTTTCATTCTCTCTCTTCATTCTTTCTTTCTCTTCTCTTTCTTTCTTTCTTTCTTTCTTTCTTTCTTTCTTTCTTTCTTTCTTCCCTGGTTTTTCAAGACAGCTCAAGCTGACTCTGAATTTACTCTGTATACCAAGGCTGGTCTGAACTCAGAGATCTACCCGCTTCTGCCTCCTGAGTGCTGAGATTAATGTTGTGCACAGCCACTGCCTGGCAGGTTACAATTCTTAAGTGTGGTTTTAGAGTCAGCAGCCCAGGTATTGAGAAAACAACATACAAATAGACCTGGACCCCTTTGGTGTCATAGAGGCAAGGCACCAGAGAATGACACAACAGCCAAGACTCTCAGCAATGATGGAATTCATCCAAGCACTCATCTTACACACACAAACACATTCACAGCCACAGCTACAGCTACTCAGAATGGAAGAAGGCAGAAGACGGTCCACTGTTCTCCTTAGCCTAGAACACAAAAGTCAGCGAGTCAGGCCAGGCTGCTTTCTCCCTTCTCCCTTCTCCCTGCCTTTGTCTTCTCAGTTCTTGAGCTCCCTGACTCAGTCTGGTCTCTAAATCTCCTAGTAGGAGGGGACAAAACCCTTGTAGCAGAGAAGTGATAAAGATAGTAAAATAATTGTGAGAGAGCTGTGGGTCTGAGTTCAAGTCCTTTTTAATCTTAATTTTCAGGGTCCCTAGCCTGGCTAGTTCAGCAATAACTTGGAGGTTCCTCCCCAACTTGCCTTGTCCTCCAGGACATGACTCTTAGGGAGTAACTAGAACCTCTTCCCTTCTGGACAAAGTCTGACACCTGGTGGCCATCTTGAGGAATAACCAGATGGGTGCTTTTCCAAATCTTCCCCAGAATTTCTTCTGAACTGTTTGTTGGTCCAGGTGAAAGAGGAGCTGATCAGAGTGGGTATGGAAAGTTCCTGGGCAGGGCAGAACCAGGGAGCCTTACTATTCCCCAAGGTTCTTACCATTTAAATTCATGAAACCCAGAACCTACAGGCTAAGGGACTGTGCCTGAGAGGGTAGAGAGGGACCAGGAAGGAGCCCCTGAAGGAATATGGCACATGGGGAAAGGAATGAAGGCAGGGTGTTCATCTGGCTGTCTAGAATCCCCTGAGCTGGTCTGATCTCCAGCTCAGGGTGAGTGGCAGGGCCTGAGGAAGGGGTGGGGGTTAAAAAGAGGGACAGAAATGGAATTATACCTTACATCCCAACTGAGCCCTGGGCAGCTGCTCTCTTCCCTCTCTTCTACCTGCCCCATCTCCTCAGCTCTACCAGGCTTTCTTCATACAACCCATCTCAAACAGGGGAGAGGGGCTTACAGTGTGTGTGTGTAGGTGCAGTGCTGACCCCACCCCCAACTAACACACTGAGGGAAGCCACACTTAATCTTTCCACTAGAGTAGCCAGCAGTGAGTCTAAGCCCCAGAAGTGCTGAGCTTCTTTCTGCTCATGCTATTTGTTCTCCTGATCTCCCCAGGACTTTGACCTTGGACATAGCAAGGTTTCAGGTATTTCCAAGTGCAAGAGTTAACTCCTAGTTCCCACCACCAGCGTCTGGGGGTTAGTGCTGACCAAGGACACTTTGCATACAAGACAAAGCTGAGCCCCACCTCAGACTACCAACAAGGTCTCCAGTCTGAGAACTGAACAGCAGTTTGGTGAATGGTCCCAGGAAGCTGCTTAAGTGGGGCAAAGTGTTTCAGGTAGGAAGGGAAAAGCATAAGATTAGAGAAGAAAGGAGAAAAACATCCAAAGAGAGAAAGCAGGTCAAGGGCTAGTCAGTTCCCCAAACACCTCAGAGAACCACCCAATGCTTAGCAGGTCAGGACGGTCCCAGTGCTGACTGGGAGAAGAGAGCATGCTTACTTGGGAGAATTGCCTTACCCCAGGCCAAAAGACCAGTCCTAGGGTCCCTGCACTCAGGTCAACACTCTGGATCTCTCTCTGGGGCTGAGGGAAGCTAAAGCCCATGGGAGATATCTTTCCAGACAGTGTAGGAGAGGCTAACTGGGCCTGAGCCAAGCAGAGCTGGGAGGGGGAGCAGGTAGGAATGGCCCTCCACAGAGCAGGTCAGGGTGTCAGGGGCTGCCAAAGGAGAGAGGGGAATAGGCCCAGGCAGCAGTGGGAGCTGCTGTGGCCGCCCAGCGGCACACCCCATTTCACGCTCCCTGGGCGGTGGCAGGCCCCACGGCTATCAGCTTTCAGGGGTGGGAGGGACCAGGAATGAGGAGGGGTCTGCCCCACCCATGGTTCCCACTCCTTCGGGGCTTTGTGGACTCAGGAAGTGGGTGCCACTTACCTTTGGGAACCGTCCCAGAGTCCCTTTCTGAGGCTGTATTAGGGAGGAGTCCTAGTCCCCCAGACCCTAGAAGCTAGCCCACTATAGAACACTCAGCCTGACTAGACCTGACACCAGCGCCCTTCCCTTCCTGGTGCAAAATTCTCCCTGTTACCTTCCCCAGCTCTGCAGGGTCTCTTCTAGCTGGATGTGGGCCCCATTTGTACAGGAGAAGGGGGAGAGGGGATCAGACCTGTGCCAACCCAAACAATGCAAACAGGTCTTTGCACTGTTACCATAGCTCCCTCCTCCTCAAGAAGTTGATGAGGAAGGCCAAGCAAGAGGAGGCTCCTGAAAACACAGCCTTCTCCCCACTGATAGGTTCTTCTTCTCTAGAGATCTTCCCTGTTGCCACATGCATGAGAGGCCCAGTGCTTGCTAAGCCAGATCTCCAGAGCTTCAGAGAAGGAGGGCAAAGGCCTCCAAGCAGCCATCATCAGACCTTGCACCCCTGGAAGGAAGGACCGGATGGGATCTCCAGAGGGTGATTAGTGCTGGGTCAGTCCCAGTGCTGGTTCCCAGACTCCCACTGGCCAGCACTTTCACCCGCTGCCAGGAAGTTGGTGAGGGGGAGGTGATAGCAGGGGTGAGTCAGCGATGACAGGAGCCCCAAGACAAAGGTCATGGGTACAGAATTGAGAGACACTGTTTACAGCAATCTACCTCCTGGAGGTTTCTCCCAATGCCCACCATCCTCCTCTAGCTCTAAGGAGTTCTTTCTCCTTCTGCTTTCCTGTACAGGTCTGACAACTGGATGCCCCTCTACCCTGCAAGCTTGGGATCTTCTGGAGCACAAGGAAGGCTAGTTACACAGTATCTGTTACTAAGAGCCCTGATCACAATTTACCTACACCCACTTGCAAAACTCTTTTGATGTCTATTTTGAATAAGGTTGTGGGAACTGCTTAGTACAGCTCTAGGCACATGGTAAGCCCAATATAAGGGAAAGGTTTATTGATGTTATTTTCTGTTATATACACATTTCTAAGAAACAGAGCATATCTGTCAGTTAAGAACTGGAGATCTAAGCTGGGCATTGGTGGCACACGCCTTTAATCCCAGCACTTGGGAGGCAAAGGCAGGTGGATCTCTGTGAGTTCGAGACCAACCTGGTCTACAACAGCTAGTTCCAGGACAACCTCCAAAGCAATACAGAGAAACCCTGTCTCGAAAAAAAAAAAAAAAAGAACTGGAGATATATGCCAGGCAGTTGTGGCACACGCCTTTAATCCCAGCACTTGGGAGGCAAAGGCAGGTGGATCTCTGTGAGTTCGAGACCAACCTGGTCTACAACAGCTAGTTCCAGGACAACCTCCAAAGCAATACAGAGAAACCCTGTCTCGAAAAAAAAAAAAAAAAAGAACTGGAGATCTATGCCAGGCAGTGGTGGCACACACCTTTAATCCCAGCACTCAGGAGGCAGAGGCAGAGGCAGGCAAATCTCTGTAAGGCAATTTCTGTGAGTTTGAGGCTAGCCTGGTCTACAAAGTGAGCTCCAGGACAGCCAGGGCTACACAGAGAAACCTTGCCTCAAAAACCAAAAGGGGGCAGCGGGGGAGAACTGGGGATCTGAACCCATAGGGAGTGGGGACTAGACTTCTGGCATCCTGCTTGGAATGGAATCTTCCTGACTAGCAAAGTGGACAGAGGCAGGCTGTCGGGCCTGACAGTGGACACAGCAACCGCATGCCTGGGCTGGGTGGACAGTGTCTCTGCCAGCGGACTGTGAGAAAGGAGCCTTCGGAGCCCATGGGCTTCTCCAGCCAGGTCTCTTGGGGCCGGTAGGAGCAGGGAAAAGGCCAGGATTAGTTCAAACTCTCTTTGGACCTAAAGATCTGATCCCACAACGCTCTGGGGCCAACCGGCAGGAGTAAAAGGTTCCAGCCGGGCTCAGGGGACTTACAAACTGGCCACGGGGATTAGTGAGGCTGAAAAGAACATTTGCCTAGGAAGGAAAAACGGGAAGTGAGAGGCTGAGGATAACTCTCTATATGTCCCTAGGGACCCAAGTGGACCAATGAGGGACCGGAGGAGGTGGTGAAGTCTGGGGCATCTTGACAGGTCCTTGGTTCCGCCTAAACCCTCCTCACTCGGACGCAGCAGCAGCTGCCCCACCCCCTGCCCTCTGACGACTGCCATTGGCTAAAATTAGGGTCCCGCCCCACAAAGGCCGCTTGCCATTTGCTTAGGCTCTGATGTTTGCGTGCTTGTGGGGGCGGAAGACAGGCGTCATTCTCTGGAACCTAGGGACTTCCTCTCTCTGCTTGTCTGGGTCAACTTGTCTGTCCATCGCTGGCCCATCTCTCTCTGGCCCTCTCTCACACTCTCAGCAGCTGTCTTTCACAGGCCCACTGCCCTGCCTTTTCTTTCCCGCTATTGCCTCCTGCTCCGCCTGCCTGGGTGGCCGCCATGGGCCGGAAGCGGTTCATCACTGACTCCTACCCTGTTGTGAAGAAGAGGGAGGGGCCCCCTGGGCACAGCAAGAGGGAGCTGGCACCAGAGCTAGGTCTCTGAAATGTGGGGGTGGCAGAAAGAGTGGGTATGCAAGTATGCAAGGACCAGAAAGGGGAGGGGGGAGAGGAGAGAGAGAGAGAGAGAGAGAGAGAGAGAGAGAGGCTAGTATGTCTCATACTTCTGATGAGCTGTCTGGCTGCTGGATGGCAAAGGCAAATGAGTGAAGATACAGCCAGTGGCACAGCTGTGTCCAGGGTAGGGCAAAGGCCTGGATGGGCCTGAGGAGCTGCATGTTATTGCAGGAGAAGACACCCAGTCCCTCAGCCAGGAGGAAGCACAGCTGGAGCTGCTGAGGCAGTTTGACCTGGCCTGGCAGTATGGGCCTTGCACAGGTGAGAACCCCACCTCCAGCCCACCAGGCACATCTCTGAACCAGTTCTGTCATCGATGTGTTTCAGAAATAATCCAAGTGCCTGCCTAACACTGTCTCCTGAGACTGGCATGTGTGGAGGCCTCTAGCCTGGACTCTTCTGCCCTGCTGAGTCTTCTTTCCACCCTGGCAGGTATCACACGGATGCAGCGCTGGCATCGGGCAGAGCAGATGGGCTTGAAGCCCCCTCTAGAGGTGCACCAGGTGCTGAAGACACACTCTGAAGACCCCCGCTTCCAATTCAGGTCAGGACAGCTTTCAGGGAACCAGGCCCTTCTCTAGGAGTTGCCACTCTCTGGTCTGCATAGGGGCTTCCTTGACTTGGAGAAATGGGCACAGACTTAAGGGGTCCTTCCTGACAAGTAAGAAGGGTCTTCTAGGTGCCTGGCTCAAGACAGACCCCTTTAATGATCCTTACCTCTAAGAGCTAATGGTGGTGCAAGAGTATATACAGGGCCCATGGGGCTATCTGAGTACTGGGGGTTCATCAAAGCCACAGAAGCACACACAATAGTTAAGAACTGCTGAAGATCCATCAAGGAATAGAACTGACTCTGCTCTGCACTCCTCCTCCTCCCCTGTCTCCCACAGCCTCTGGCATCTCTACCCACTCTGAGGTTCCACCCGGGTTGTTCTTCCCTTGACACCTCCTAGCCACCAAGAACTTCTGGACAGAATCCATGGCCAGTAGATGCTGCTCTGCTCATCTCAGCTCTGGAGAAACAGTTAGCAGGCTGACTGTGGAGGTCATCCTGATTCAGCCTCTTACCTGTCCAAGCAACAGGCTCCTGATGCTCCTGAGACCACACCTCCGGGGCCTAATCATGACCACCAGATGCTTGCCATACCCTCTCTGATGTAGTAAATCCAGCACAGCCTGACTCAAAGCCAGATGTCAGAAGAATCAAAGAGTTCACTAACGCTTACAATAAAGTACATTAAGCCTGAAATCCTGACCTTTAGTCCCTTAATATGACTCTGCTCTAGCTGGCAGTTCCCAAAAGGTAAGTAGGCAGGAGAGCCAGCTATAGGCTTTTGTGTTGTCTGTCCCCCCCCCCCGCCCCAAAGACAGGGTTTCTCTGTGTAGCCCTGGCTGTCCTGGAACTCTCTGTGTAGACCAGGCTAGCCTTGAACTCAGAGATCTGCCTGCCCCTGCCTCCTGAGTGCTGGGATTAAAGGCTGTGTCACTATACCACCTGGCTTCCCTATCTGTCTTTCTAAGGCAGTCTTCTCATGAGCTGAGCAGCCTCTGGTGTCCCCTGGTGGTACTTAGAAAAGCACTCTGAGTCTCCTTCCCTGACCAGCCAGCAAAAAGCCTGTCTGAGGTGCCCAGCTTGTAAGCAACTATTATGTTCTGACACCATAGGTCTCCGTGGGTGTTACTACCACTGAAATATAGCAAAACAAACATGGAAATCAGTTATGTCATATGGTGTTCAGCATTAAGTAAAATTAGGGTGAGAGGTCTGTAGAGGGTCAGAGAATGCCCAGGTGATATTTGGAGGAATTGGACAGGAAGGACCCTATAGTGAGGCAGCATTTGAGAAGAGATGAAGGAAATAAGGGGGTGGGGTGGGGAGAGGCTTGTACCTGTGTAAATGTTTCAGACAGAAGAAATGACAAGAAGAAAGGTTCTTCAACAGGAACATTTCCAGCCTCTTCAGAGCACAGGGGACAAGAGGAAGACAGCAGGGAATGGATGGGGCCAGACAGGTAGCAGGCCAGTCCCATTGTACAGTGTAGACCATGATAAGAAATCTGGATTTTACAGTGAGTGAGAGGAGATACTGGAGAGCATTAAGAAATGACATCATCGAACTTATGTTTTGAAAATATGACTGCAGCTGTGGGTGGAATCAGTCTGTGGAGTTGGGGAAGCAGATAGGTGGTGACACAGCTCTGCTCTGCAGGCTAATGAAGCCTGTCTGAAAAGAGGTGACAGTGATGTCATTTGGAGCAAGGTGGGGAGATGGAGCTGGTAAGAGGTGGCCAGATATTATTTTGAGGGGACAACTGACCACTAGGGTCTGCTGATCTTGACTGGGATTTAAGGGCTGGAGCCAAGTTTAAATCCACAGGTTTTGGCTTGAGTGACTGGAAGATCAGATATCTTATAGTTGATAAGGAAGACTGTGATAGGGAGGACAGTGGGAAGAGGAGAGTAGGATGGGAACCAAGAGTTTTAGACATTTTGGCTTCAGAGGGGTGCTGTGGGTGGAACCTGGGGTCTTGCCTATAATAGGCAAGTGCTCTATGATTGAGCTACACCCCCAGTCAATATGTTACATTTGAAGTGTTTGTAACATATCCCAGTGAAGAAGGGGTGTAGGCAGATGAGATGGTAAATCTGGAAGTCTGGAGAGGTCTAGATTTGAGATATAACTTTGGGGAACTTTCAAATGGCATTTAAGGTCACAAGAATGAACTGGGCATAGTGGTGCTCACGTGAAATCCCAACACTCTAGAACCTGATTCAGGACTGATATTTCAAAGCCAGACTAGCAACATAGGAAGAACTTTCTCCAAGAAAAACATTCCCAGCACTTGGAAGACAGAGGCCAGCCTGGCTTATGTAGAGAGTAATAGGACAGTTAGGGCTACATAGACAGACCCTAAAAAGTCTTTTTGTTTGTTTTTGTTTTTCGAGACAGGGTTTCTCTGTGTAGCTTTGGAGCCTATCCTGGCACTCGCTCTGGAGACTAGGCTGGCCTCGAACTCACAGAGATCTGCCTGCCTCTGCCTCCTGAGTGCTGGGATTAAAGGTGTGTGCCACCAACCCGGCGCAGAGGCAGAGGCAGGTGGATCTCTGTGAATTGGAGGCCAGCCTGGTCTCCAGAGCGAGTGCCAGGATAGGCTCCTCACCATTCAATCAGTATATCACTATATTAAAAGTATAGAGTGCTGGATGATGATGATGATGATGATGATGATGATGATGGTACACGCCTTTAATCCCAGGACTCAGAAATCAGAGGCAGAAGGGTCTCTATGAGTTCGAGGCCAGCATTGTCTACAGAGTGAGTTCTGAGACAGCCAAGGCTACACAGAGAAACCCTGTCTCTGGGGAGGGGGTTGTAGAGAGAAGAGGGATCTGATGACAGCCCTACATTTAGGCCAAAAGAATGGGAGAATAAAGCAAAGGAGATGGGGTGAGGGTAGCCTGCAGAGCCAGAGAAAGACCAGAACAGTAGATGGGATGGGGGGCTTCAGAGTCTTGGCAGAGGATTTCAGACTTAGGCATTCCCAAGAATCTGGCAAAATGCAATCTGAGAGGGTCCTATTGGATTCAGTCACACAGAGATCCTTGGAAAGTGGTAAGAGCCATCCTGGAGAACTGGAAACAGGAGCTTGTCAGTTTCAGTTTGTTTTTAAAGGGAGGAAAGATTTATTTTGGCTCATGGCTAAAATCACTATTATGCTAGGGAAGGGATAGTGGCAGAAGTGGTTCTGCCTCTACCAGTGGACTATAAAGAAGAAAACTCTGGAGTGCTTCACAAATTCCATGCCATCTTATCATTCCAATTTAAGTGTATGTGCTGCTGAAGTGAGCACATGCCAATTTTTTGAGGAACACTTTACTGTAAGGAGTGGAGACTGGAGTGGTAGCTAGAAAGGATATGGGATCAAAGAGACAGTTTTTGTCCTTTGTTTTAGATGGAGTAGCACAGCAGCTTAATTACACAGTGTACATAATCAAGAGTGGTGCTGCAGGATAGGATATGATGCAGTTGTGTGAGTGAGGTAATTGCTAAGGAGGGGGAAGTCTGGAAACTCTAGGTAAATATACTGTGAACATGCAGGAGTAGGGATAGGGAAGGGGTGCTGTGGGGGATGGGGATCCTGGAGGAGCAGATGCTCACTGAGAGCTGGGCGCTGTTGGGCAGGGTGGCTAAGTGCTTATCCTGCCACCTGCTGGGCTGAATACTGCATGTATGTTATCAGTTGAGGCCTGAGGACAATCTCATTAGATGAGTATTGTCTATGTTTTACAGATAAAGAAACTGAGGCTGAGAGGGAAAATGTTCTGCAGTCAGCAAACAGCAAAGCCAGCCTTCGCAGCTGCCCCACCAGGCTAGCCAAACACCTGCACTCCAGATGTTTAGGATGGACTTGATGAGATAAGGCCTACATATGGGGGCAATTAAAAAACAAACAAACAAACAAAAAACTCATGTAATACAAGTACTGCCCACAGACAACCTAGGAGTCCAAAGCCACAGAAGTGTGGGTTCTCAGGAAGCAGAGAGCATCTGGGGTAGAGGAATACAGTAACTATCCTGCAGAAGCCTCTAGTGCAAAGGCCTCCTCCTCCTGCTGCACTGGAGTTCCCTGCTTACCCTCATGTGTCCCCAGCCTTTGGATTCACAGTTTCCCTGCTTCTTAACCCTTTCACTGCAGGATGGATGCAGAGGCTCTGAGCATTCTCAGTAGTTTTGTGTTTTGTCTTTTTTTTTGGGGGGGGGTTATGAGACAGGGTTTCTCTGTGTAGCTTTGGAGTCTGTCCAGTCAAGTTTTGTCTTTTTTAAATCTGCCAATTTTTAAGCCAGGTGTGGTGGCACACACCTTTGATCCCAGCACTTAGGAGGCACAGACAGGTGGATCTCTTGAGTTTGAGGCCAGTCTGGTCTGCAGAGAGAGTTACAGGACAGCAAAGGCTGAACAGAGAAAATCTGTCTCAAAAAACCTAAAATAAATAAATAAATAAAATCTGCCAATTTTATATTTGACTCCAGATCCAGTGATATGTCTGAAGTATCTGTTTTAACATAAAAATAAATGAAAACCCTTCAGGAAGATGTGTTTGTGTGGCTTAAGCTGGCTCCCTAAGCCTCTGACATCTGAGCAGCACCATGTAACGGTAAATAAGTACTCACTGGAAGAAATGGGAGGTATTCAGTCCTTGACTGATACCTGAAGTATAAGAGGAAATGAACTTTCCTCCTCTAGTTAATTTTGGTCATGGTTTTATCACAGCAGTAGAAATCAAACTAAGGCAGGACGTGTATGGTCAGGATCGATGTATACAGAGGCGTGTCATGTGTGGCACACTCCCTGTCAGTGGCAGTACAATCAAAAGCTAGCATCTGGGGAGCTGGAGAGACAGCTAAGCAGGTTAAGAATACTTGTTACTCTTGCAGGAGAGCTGACTTTGGTTTCTAGCACCCACATGGCAGCTCACAACTACTCATAACCCTAGTTCCAGGGACTCTGACACCCTCTTCTGGTCTCTGCTGGCACCAGGCACACAAGTAGTACACATGTATACACACAGGCATAACATAAAACAAAACAAACAAAAGCCACTAGCAGATGTGCTTGTGCTCGTGTGTTTAGCACTGGTCTGTGTGCATTTTATCCTCAGAGCTGCTCTACACACAACTACAGCACTTCTTTTTATTTATTTATTTATTTATTTATTTATTATACAGTCTTGTGCCTGCATGCCAACAGAGGGCACCAGATCTCATTCAAGGTGGTTGTGAGCCACCAAGTGGTTGCTGAGAATTGAACTCAGGACCTCTGGAAGAACAGTCAGTGCCCTTAACTGCTGAGCCATCTCTCCAGCCCCTACAGCACTTCTTATACAGTTATTTTGAAGAGGATGCTCATGCACAGAGAGGTAAAATAGTTGCTCTGGGCAACACAATATATGAGATTTGATCCCAGAGTCCAGTTCCATGCCTGTTTCCTTTGTCATGTGGGATAAAATCAATGAGCCAGGCTTGGGCCAAGAAAGGGCTCTTGAGCTGGACAGTGTCTGTGGTAACAATAGTGCCTAAATGTTTCTGAATAGAAGAGACAAGATCAAGAGAGCCATCCTAAAAAGTCTGTCTGGCCAGGTATGAAAGAATGAAAGGAACTGTCACCCAGCATGGTGGCACACACCTTTAATCCCAGCATTCAAGAACAGAGGTAGGCAGATCTCTGAGTGTGAGGCTGGCCAGATCTATATAGC